GATGTTGAAATTATTGAGCGAAGAACTAATTAATCTTTTTGTTATGTGTCGTACCTTCTAGTGTGATTGATGGTGGTGGACTGAGGAAGTAATATGTAAAGATGTACGTTATTGTCGGTTGGAATTGGCGTTTAGCGGGAAAATTAAATTTAAATTCAAGTGTATTTTGGCATAGTTCCCAATTAACAACCATGTAGTGTATTGTATTAAATCATTTTTAAGAAAAAACTGAAATTATTTATGTCTGTAATGTCGTTAAGTAACTTATCTGCATTTTCTTTTTTATATTTATGTATAAAATATTCTTCGTAGAGATCCAATTGTTTAGATTTGTTTATGTTTTTAAGTAGAATTATTTTGTTTTTGTTGATTGAATGTTTATGTTCTTGTAAATGTTTATATACGTTGGATGTCTTTTTGGTTTTGTGTTCCTTCAGTCTGGTATTGAGGTTTCTTCCTGTTTGTCCCACATAATTGTCATCACAATCTTCGCATCTGATCAGATAAACACCGCTTTTTTGGAGGTCTTCGAATTTGTGTTTGTTGTTGGTCAATAAATCGCTAATTTTGTTTCCTGATAGGAACGCCGGGAATATATCAAATTTATTTAGATTTTTAGTAAATTTAGTTAAATTATGATTGTATGAGAGGGTTATAAATTGTTTGTTAGATTGAAAGTTAGGGTAAACCAGCTTTCTAATATTATTTTTATGAATGCCATTGATTATTGATTGTAAAGTGGAGATGTTGTAACCGTTGTTATGTCCGATTTTTAATATGTTATTGACTTCTTTTTCAAAGTTTTGTTGTTTTAGTGGTGTATTGTAAAGCCTGTTGAACAGGAAGTTAAAAGCTGCTTTTTTGTGGGCTGTGCAGTTATACGAATCATTAGGTATAATGCAATCGGTAGTAGTATTTTTTCTATATATGTCAAAATTGATTTTCCCTTCGTCATAGTTTTTAATGAGTGTAAGATCCAAAAAATTAATACAATCGTCGACCTCTCTCTCCATGGTGAACTCTATGTTATTTATTGAATTAATAGTTATTTAACCAACAAGTCTATTAATGAAGGCGATTAATTATCGAGATATTTTAACGCGTGAGCGAGCGAAGCGAAGCGAACGCGTTAATTATTGAGATATTATTACTATCTATATTACTTCCTCAGTCCACCACCATCAATCACACTAGAAGGTACGACACATAACAAAAAGATTAATTAGTTCTTCGCTCAATAATTTCAACATCCTTGCAAACTCAAAACAGATATTCAACATTTCACCATCATATTTGGATAATTTTCGGAACTTTAATAATATTTTATGACCCAAACTACTATTAGTGGACATTTTGAGGTTAAGTAAAACGTGAGAAACACACGGGTAACTTGCTTCAACTTGATTTTAATTCTTCGATTCTCTTCAAATTTACTTTTTAGAATAGATATAAACCTTCACATTGACAACTTCAACGAGTTTTTACAATTTTGACATTTGATAAATAGTATTGTGGAAAAAGAATAAAAATAATAACAACTCTGCCTCATACATTGAAATTTCGATAACATACAATCATAATAATCAAACGAGAACATGTTGAAAACAAAACAAACTCCCTCAAGATTGTCGTAAAACTAATGACGGTAATTACTTCTTCATTGCTTCAACATTAGATTTAAGACCTAGCTCTAAGTTCACTTCTATTTATATGATTTTTCTTTCGTAGTCGTGCCTGTCGAAGCCTCTAGAAGGGGCGAAACACGTGTAGCACTTATTTAAATGAATAAATCATCGTTTTGGGCCATTTAAGCCTTTTATTTCGATTTAGATTCTAGGTTATGTTTATATCAAACATTTATTTGGTGATTTATAAACATCAAGGTCATCAGCTGCTATTAATTTCTAATTCACCGTCCAATAAGATAAAAGCGTACTCACCACGTGTTCACGCATGTCTCTTGAGTAGACGGGGGCACGACAGAGACAGATATATATATCTGCACTCTAGTGTTTACACTCTTTTGCTGCCTTAGTCAGCGATATAGGAGATAGTATATATATGCATTAAAGTAATAATAACTTTTCTGACAGTATAATTTTTGGTTTTTTGAATAAAAATTCTTATTCTCTGTACTTTTTAAGCAAACGATACTCTTATCAAAATGCACTAAAATTTATCGTTTTCAAAATAATCCGCTTTTTATTATTCGATACCGACCAATGGTTTTAGACAGTGATGTGAATGTGTAAATTATCAAAATATTTACCGTAATTTGCTGTAAATTACCAAACAAATTTTTCATAAATTACCGCTAGGAGCTAGGATGTGTCTGCGCATGCGCTCTCGATGTTTTGATAATGCTGTAAAGCCCCTATAAGAAACTTAAAAGAGTTGGTTATAACAGAAACTATAAGAAGTATTCTAGNTGTAGATAAGAAGGTATTGTTCTATTGGAGTATATTTGATAAAAATTATTAATTGACTTAGCAATGATATAGTCCTTACTAAGAGAAATGCGAATGACTTCTCACTTAAGGGGGGAAGTACATTTAGACGCGCTAAAATAAGCGCATTTTCAAGTTTTTTTTTCGTGAAGTTGAATTAGTTTCAAACCTTTTTGATACCCATTACTATTTAGTGATGCTTTGTACTATAAAAATATGTATTTGCATATTCTAAAACTTTTATAAGCGAAATAATGATCAGATAGGGGAACGTTACGGAGTGAGCGGTTCCGTTTCAAACATTCTAGCATTCGCTAGAGTGGTTAGAATTACTTGCAAATGCATTTAAATTGTTCCCAACATTCATATCTTCTATGTGAACCAAAAAAAAGTTAAAAAAAGTTAAGCATTTAAAAAATACAGGTGTTTTAATATAATGTTAAAACTTTTTAAGAAAATATTGATATGCAGGGTGTTTCAGGTTTTTGTAGCAGGACTTTAACAGTCGATAGATCTCTTAAAATTAACACAAAAATTTCATATAAACATAGGTCTACAAACGCTTTGTTTTGAAGATACAGGGTTTTCAAATTAGATTTCTAAATTGATTTTTATTTAATATTACACGTGTATTTCAACCGATTCTTTTCAAATTTGGTATACGGAGGTTTTCTGGCATAAGAAAGACGATTATGGAGTCCGTTTTAACAGCGCTCTGTAACGTATTCTTTACGCATTAAAATAATAATAACTTTTCTGACAGTATAATTTTTGGCTTTTTGAATAAAACTTCTTATTCTCTGTACTTTTTAAGCAAAAAGGGTACTCTTATCAAAATGCACTAAAATTTATCGTTTTCAAAATAATCCGCTTTTTATTATTCGATACAGACCAATGGTTTTAGAGGATAGTTAAAGATAGTAAAATAATGTGTGACATGGAAACAAAGTAGGTAAAATAACTAATGTTTTAGTTTATTAATATTTTTTAAACTAAATAAAAGATAAAAATTAAAGAAATTGTTGAAAATGTAAAAATTTTGCTTGCATCATTCTGACCGACGAATGACTCGACGAATCGAGTAATGGTATTTAAGAACGCCCTTATGTCATTACAAGCATTCCTAATCCTATTAAAAGTTCATCCCTTGTGGGAACAGGTGTCTCATACAATTTTCAAATGTCTCCACACAGAAAAGTCTAAAGTATTAAGATCTGCAGATCATCAAGAATTCAAGAAAACGTAAATAAAAGAAAAGATGAATTCAGATTATGAAAATTAAGAGTGAAACTGACGTGGCTATTGTTCCTGAAGATGACTAAAAAAGAATAGTCGAAACCGGTTGAGCCGAAAATAAAGAAAATTCCACCCTTCTGAAAAGCAAAGTTTTTTATTCACATAAACTTTCTTTTTAAAGCTGAACCAATGTCGTTCCACATATTGGCATGTTCAGCTACCAAAAATTACAAGAACGCCACAGCGGTTAATTGTGGTTTCAAAAAGTATGTCCCGAAAAGATGGTTATTATAAACACCTACCCAGATGTTGACAGTAAATTCATGTTGGAAGTTTCGTGGCCGAATTGCGTAGAGATACTAAAACATGTAAATTGTGAAAGTTTACAATCCCACGTCTTGTGAAACACGATTCATCGTTCCACATTACATTATTTAAAAAATCTCGAATGTTGGCTGATGCTTTGGCAATCCACCAACAAAACGTTACATGCCATCCTTCATCGCTTGGTTCCATTCCTTGAAGGGTTGTAAATGATAAGCATGTCTATGATCATGTTTTAAAAAGCGATAAACACGCGCCCTAGAAATTCGTAAGGCATTCGAAACTCTTTTAACACTCGTAATGTGGTCTTTGTCGAACTCACGCAAAATTCTTCTAAAGTTTCTTTGCAGTCTAACATTGTCATTATTACGATCTACCCATCATTATTTAGCCCTTGTTCAACTATTTGTCTATGCACTTTCACAAACAGAAGGATGCGGGTGTCTTCTATTTGGATATATGCTCCTATACTCTAGGGCTACTTCTGCTGAATTTCCGTTTACAAACCCATAAACAAAATGAATATCCGCTAACTCTTGGTTAGGAAAAATAAACGGCATTTCATAAAGTTTTTATGCAACAAACAAAAAATGAAAAAAAAAAAAACAATTTAACACGATTAGGAAAAAGAGTAATGAATTTAGCACGTTAATAAACAAGAAAATTGAATTTAACACGTAACCAATAAGAAAAATTAATTTAACACCGATCAACAACTACTGGTGATTTGACACTTGATATAATAAACTAAAACATTAGTGAACTTACCTACTTTGTTCCAATGGCAAACATTATTATATCTATCTTTAACAATCCTCTAAAAAAATTGGTCTATATCGAATAATAAAAAGCGGATTATCTTGAAAACGATCAACTTTAGCGCATTTTGATAAGAGCATCGTTTTTGCTTAAAAAAGTACTGAGAATAAGAATTTTTATTCAAAAAGCCAAAAAGTATACTGTCAGAAAAGTTATTGTTATTTTAATCGGTAAAGAATACGTTACGGAACGCCCTCTACCGGCTATAGTAAAACAGACTCCAAAATCGTCTTTCTCATGCCAGAAAACCTCCGTATACCAAATTTGAAAACTATCGGTTGAAATACACGTGTAATATTAAATAAAAATCAATTAAAAAATTTAAATTAAACACCTGTATCTTTACAACAAAGCGTTTGTCGACCTATGTTTATATGAAGTTTTTGTGCTAATTTTAAAAGATCTATCGACTGTTAAAGTCCTGCTACAAAAACCTGAAACACCCTGTATAAATGAATAAAAAACTAATTTTTTTAAATAACTTATGTACACTTAAAGGTTCAAATAGAAGGCGATATTACTATTTATACCGGTGTCGCGGGCACCGGGTGAGAGGCCAACCCATACCTGTTCTGGTAAAAATGAGAAAAAAAATTCCATGTCTCTTAGTTAAGTAGTAATACACATATTTTTGAAAACGTTAAAAATCGGTCCTGTACATCATATCTTTAGGTACTACGGTCAGAAATGTTCGCAATTTAATAGTGATTTTTTTAATAATGTATTCCTTGTGAACCATGCTACTGTAGAAGTCACAAATCAAACAACAAAAATCGTTAGTTTTGCAAAAAAATTTGAACACATAAGGGCAACCATCTTGTTGAAACCACATTTTGTAGTTCGTAGATATTGACTGGCACATCTTCTAACAAAGTTAAGAGGAAATAAAAAGGAAATACAAATAACATACAAAAGTATGAATTTTTTAAATAACGTGTTTTTTGCAGAAAAACAAGCAATATTTTTTATGATAAGAAAAATGGCAAGTGTTGTACCATTTTGGAAACTTGACTAAACAAACCATCTTTTAAAATTACTTGCCAAGGGTGTTGTACTACTCCTTTTTTTAGAATCGTGTGTCAAACTTGATAGACATAAATTCTTTCAACCTTAACTCAATTAAATTAATATATTTTTTTGCAAAACTAACGATTTTTGTTGTTTGATTTGTGACTTCTACAATAGCATGGTTCACAAGGAATACATGATTAAAAAAATCACTATTAAATTGCGAACATTTCTAACTGTAGTACCTAATTTCCACTATTTTTAAGCCAGAATTTAGGTGCTTTGGCGCCAATTGCCAAATAATGGAGTTGAAACTTTCATTGGCATTTTGAACATCTTATTAATAAATTTTCTCGAGATAAATCTTTATAAATTGAATATATGTGTTTCTGAACATCTGGATCGTCTTTTCAACATGTCCAATACATTAATTTTTAATTACTGGAAAATCGTCGCCATATGGATTTTGTTCTAAAATTGCTTTGAACGTTTTGGA